TCCCAATAGTTCATTTTTGCCCTTGCTTCCCTTGCCTTTGGCGATGTTCCTAGGAACATAATTGACTTTTTAAAAATAGGTGATAAGATGTGAGGATTCTTGACATTTCAAAGTTATCTGCATTGATAAACTATTATGCCCTCTCAGTAATGTGGTATTCCTAGAGCCCTTACCCTGTACGCATGAGAGTGGGAGTCCAAAAGTTATGAGGTAGAGTTTCTGCTCACCTAAGGCCGTATGCTTGTTGGAGAACAAGGAATATCATGAAAAACTAAATAGAGAAAAAACAAGGGCATAGGAATTGTTAAAGGACAGTGGAGAACAGTAAGTGACTATTGACAAGTGTTTTGTGTTCAGGAGGGTTTGAGAGGGTGGGTATGCCCTATGTAGAGTAGATTAGGGAAGGCTTCAAGAAAGAGATATGAGCGGAACTTTGAGAAGGCCAAGTAGAGAGGTGAGGATATGTCAAGGAGTATGCACAGAGGCAGGGAAGAATATAGAATAGGATGATAAGCTGACGATTCTGTTCCCCCTTCAGGGGCACGCAGCATGCTAGATGGTCAGCATGTTATTTTGTTTAATTTTTGAAAAACCTCATGACAGAATGATATTGTCCCCATTTTAGTAAAAAGAGCAGTGAGCCCCAAGAGAACTCGTGTCTCTCAGATCCCAATTCCCTGTCTTCTTCCTGTTACCCAGGTTTGAACTTAGACCTCTGCACTGGTACAGTTAGAGGAAATGCATAAACTAGGCTGAGAGGAGTGAGGATTTTGGGTGGCAAATAAATTGGAAGTTAGCTAGGGATCACGTTATAGAGGATTTCAAAATCAAGAATAATTAGGGCTTGATATTAAGGGGGTGATTATCATTTTTAATAAGGAAGTGACATAACAAAAACAGGAAAACTAATCCGGCAGTAGTCTAGAGTTTCAGGAAACCAATTAGGAGTCCATTGCATGATTTGAGGCACAAGCCTTATTAGATCTGACTTAGGGGGGCATTTTGAAAAGAAAGAGATGTTTTATGAAGAAAGATACGCTAGAATATGGTACTGGACAGGAGCTGAGTATAGGACAGAAGGCAAAGATAACTGAGGTTTTGGATTGTGGCACCATTAATAGTGACATAAAAGAGAATAAATAGTGAAAGCTATATTTTTGATCCTCCGCTCCTAAGCACGGATAACATTTGAGGCAAGAAGAGATTGAATACTTAAAAAAAAAAAAAAAAGGAATATACTCTATAAGAAAAAGTTCTATCAATTACCGGATTTTCTCATTATTGAATTTTACTTATAAAGTGAATGTGTTTGGGGTGCCAGGGTGGCTCAGTCAGTTAAGCATCTGACTCTTGGTTTCAGCTCAGGTCATGATCTCATGCATTGTGAGATTAAGCCCTGCCTGGGGCTCCACACTTGGGGGGGGGTTTGCTTGAGGATTCTCTCCCTCTGCCCCTCCCCCAGCTCGCACATGTGCATGCATTCTCTCTCTCTAATCTTTTTTCCTTTTTTTTTTTTTTTTTAATATAAATTCAGAGGCACCTGGGTGGTTCAGTGGGTTAAGCCTCTGCCTTCAGCTCAGGTCATGATCTCAGGGTCCTGGGATCGAGCCCCACATTGGGCTCCCGGGAGCCTGCTTCTCTCTCTCTCTCTCCTTGCTGCCTGCCTCTCTTCCTACCTGTGATCTCTCTCTCTCTCTCTCTCTCTCTCTCTCTGTGTCAAAAAAAAATAAATAAAATCTAAAAAAAATAAAAAAGAAAATATAAATTCAATTAATTAACATGGTGTATTATTAATTTCAGAGGTAGAGTTCAGTGATTCATCAATTGTATATAATGCCTGGTGCTCATATCATGTGCCCTCTTTAATGCCCATCACCAGTTACCTTATCCCCCCACCCATCTCCCCTTTAGCAACCCTTAGTTTGTTTCCTATAGCTAACAGTCTCTTATGGTTTGTCTCCCTCTCTGATTTCATCTTACTTTATTTTACCTTCCCTTCCCCTATGTTCATCTGTTTTGTTTCTTAAATTCCATATATGAGTGAGATTATATGATAATTGCTTTCTCTGATTGACTTATTTCACTTAGCATAATACCCTCTGATTCTATCTGCTTTGTTGCAAATGGCAAGATTTCGTTTTTCTGATGGCTGAGTAATATTCCATGGTGTATATATACCTTTATCGTCTTTACCCATTCATCTGTCAGTGGACATCTGGGCTCTTTCCATAGTTTGGCTGTTGTGGACATTGCTGCTATAGACACTGGGGTGCAGGTGCCCCTTCCATCACTATGTTTGTATACTTTGGGTAAATACCTAGTAGTTCAGTTGCTGGACCATAGGGTAGCTCCATTTTTTTTTTTTAAGATTTTATTTATTTATTTGACAGGCAGAGATCACAAGTAGGCAGAGAGGCAGGCAGAGAGAGAGGGGGAAGCAGGCTCCCTGCTGAGCAGAGAGCCCAATGTGGGGCTTCATCCCAGGACCCTGAGATCATGACCTGAGCCGAAGGCAGAGGCTTTAACCCACTGAGCCACCCAGGCGCCCCGGTTAGCTCCATTTTTAACTTTTTTGAGGAACATCCATACAGTTTTCCAGAGTGTCTGCACCAGCTTGCATTCCCACCAACAGTGTAACAGGGTTCCCCTTTCTCTGTATCCTTGCCAACATCTGTCATTTCCTGAGTTGTTAATTTTAGCCATTCTGACAGGTGTGAGGTAGTATCTCATTGAGGTTCTGATTTGTATTTCCCTGATGCCAAGTGATGTGTAGCATCTTTCTGGGTGTCTGTCGGCCATTTATTTATCTTTGGAGAAATGTCTGCTCATGTCTTCTACCCATTTCTTGACTGGATTATTTGATTTTTGTGTGTTGAGTTTGATAAGTTCTTTATAGATTATGGATACTAGCCCTTTATTTGATAAGACATTTGCAAATATCTTCTCCCATTCTGTCGGTTGTCTTTTGGGTTTGTTGACTGTTCTCTTTGCTGTGCAAAAGCTTTTTATCTTGATAAAATCCCAATAGTTCATTAAAATAAATAAATCTTTTTAAAAAAATTAAAGGGAAAATAATAGAAGTAATGAATCAAGGTAATAACTTTCTTTTTAAAGATCTCATTATAATAATTATTTTAGACTCATAAAAGAAGTATTTATAACCATATTCAGAATAGCATTTATAGGTCACTAGAAAAAAAGTCTAGATTTGAACTGATGTGCCTATAGACAGTTTCTTTCTTCATTTCAGATTATTTAGAACCTTTTCCCCTTGTACTTTTAGAAGAATGCAGCCATTATTGAAGAAGAATTGAAGACCACAAAACGTAAAATGAACCTGAAAACTCAGGAGGTAAGATAAAAAAAGGTTCTGGAGGGTGGAGGGGGCGTTGGAATTGCTGAGGGGAAGTCAGGAAAGTGGAAATCATGAGAAACTTTGAAGAAGAAAATATGTTACTGTGGAGTAGGAAGATTTTAAAAATATGCCACACGTAATTCAAGTGAAAGTGGCTACACTTATTTGACGTTGAGTTCCTTTTGCCTCAGAATGGCCCTACAACCAGAAATAAAGTCAGTGCTTTGTGAGCCAGGAAGGAAATTAGTTACCACAAAATTCATGTGCTAGAGCTAAGTGAACACCTTCATACAAAGACCTTTTAAATGAAAGTTGTGTTTAAAACAAAAAGCTTTTAATAAGACCACTCGTCTAATTTTACCTTGAAAACCTCCCTTTCAGCCCAAGTTTTAGTAGATAACAGATTGGGAGTTGTGAAGTAGGTGGCTGCTAAAAGTTGCTGGACTAAAAAATGGCAGCTGAAAACAGTGGAAGAGTCAGGAGAATTAGTAATCCAACACCCCCTGGCCCAAAAACCTCAATATTCCCTGGCGGAATAATCATGATGTCCATCCAAATCAAAAGGACCCAATTATATTTAAAATACTAAGAAGTAGATATGCCTTTTGAAGAAAATTCTCATGTGAAATTACTTCTTAAGTTATGGTTTTTAGTGCTTAAGGTGTGAAGTATAGCTATCTGAAAAATTCTCTTATGTACTTTGCCAGTAACTACTGATAAAATCATGAATTTTCATAGAATGTATTACATTTCATATAATTTTTTTTTAGTTTTCAGCTATTTTAGTAGACTTTTTTTTTTTTACAGAATTTTCACATTTATAGAAAAATTGCACAGAAAATAGTTCTCATAAACCTGCTCTCCCCATCCCTCCAATTTCCCCTATTATATTAGTGTGGTACATTTGTTAAATTTGATGAACTAGTATTCATAAATTGATAAGTCATTATTAGCTGAAGTCCATAGTTTATTAAGATTCACCCTTTCTTCATTACATTATCTTACAGAATATTATCACTCCCCTAAAAATGCTCTCTGCTCCATATACCCACCCTTTTCCCCCTCTCTTCCTGAGCCCCTGGCAACCACTGATCCTTTCACCCTCCTTAGTTCTGTTATGGTTGGAACGATTCAGTGTGTGGTGGTTTTGGACTGGCTTCTTTAGCATATGCACGTAGCATACCTCCAAGTCTTGTCATGGTGTGGTAATTCATTGCCAAACAATATTCCATTGTATGGACGTACCACAGTTTGTTTTATCCATTCATCTATTGAAGAACATCTTGGTTGCCTCTGAGTTTTGGCAACTGTGAATAAAGCTGTTATAAACATTCACATGCAGGTTTTTGTGTGGACATGTTATCTACTCATTTGGATAAATACCTAGAGCACAATTGCTGGACCATCTGGTAAGCTTTTGTTTACCTTTGTAAGAAACTGCCAACCTGTCTCAAAAAATGGCTGTACCATTTTGCATTCACACCAAAAACGAGTGAGTTTTTGTTGTTGCACATTCTCATCAGCGTGTTGTCAGTGTTTTGAATTTTTGCCATTCTAATGTGTGTAGTGATATCTTGTTTTAATTATAATTCCCTAATGACATATGATATTGAATATCTTATATACTTATTTGCCATCTGTATATCTCATTTGGTGAAGTGTCTGTGAGATCTTATGCTTATTTCGTAATTGGGTTGTTTTCTTATGTTGAGTTTTAAGAGTTCTTTGTATATTTTGGACCTAGTCCTTAATCAAATATGGGTTTTTTTTCTCCATTCTGTAGCTTATCTTTTGCAGGGCAGAAGCTTTTAATTTTAATGAAGTCCATCTTACTCATTTTTTCGTTGAGAGATTGTATTTTTGGTGTTATAACTCATCACCAAACCCAAGATCACCAAGATTTTTCTCCTATGTTATTTTTACAACCCTTATAGTTTTGCATTTTACACTTAGATAAATGATACACTTCAAATTAATGATGTGAGGTCTGTATCTAGATTCTTTGTGTGTGATTTCTTTAAAAGACTATCAGTGATTACCATTTATCATTACTATTTATTAGAGAAGTCTTAATTCTGAGAGCTGTGATAAAATATTGAATTTTCTTTCTTTTTTTAAGATTTTATTTACTTATTGGACAGAGATCACAAGTAGGCAGAGAGGCAGACAGAGAGAGAGGGGGAAGCAGGCTCCCTGCTGAACAGAGAGCCCAATATGGGACTCGATCCCAGGACTCTGAGATCATGACCTGAGCCGAAGTCAGAGGCTTTAACCCACTGAGCCACCCAGGTGCCCCAAAATCTTGAATTGTTATTGAACCCTGTCAAGGACCAGTAGAAGGACTGTCCTAGTCAAAATGCGTTTTGGTATTCAAGCAAGAGGGATATATTAGTTTGTGAGGGTCTGTTGTTTAAGACTGGGTGGCTTAAACAACAGAAATTTCTTACATTTCTGAAGATTTAAGTTCCAAGATCAAGAGGACAGCAGGTTTTTTTCTCCTGAGGCTTCTCTCCTTGACTTGCAAACGGCTGCCTTCCCATGGTCCTCACATGGTCTTTGCTTTGTGTGTGCACATCCCTGGTGTCTTCGTGTGTCCCATGAAGACACCTTCTCTTATAAGGACACCATTTGGGTTGGATTAGGACCCACCCTCACAGCATCCTTATAGCTCATCACCTCTTTAAAGGCCCTGTCTCCAAATGCAATCATTTTTTGTCATACTGGGGTTAGAGTGTCAACATAATATTTTTGGGGAATACAATTCAGCCCATATCAGGGGGCTGTATAAAGGCAGAATAAATGTGGTATATATCTTCTTAAAAGGTAAGATATATATATAAAATCTGGTTCTGATAAACATAAAGCTGGTTGCTTTTAATAATGCTTCAGAATTAACACCTCAATAGTATAATTATCAAATAAAGTTTCCTCTGTAAAGGACTTAAATTATATCTCAAGTACATTTTACTATGTAATTTGATCCAGAGCTTAGAAAACTATAGTAAGCTACTCTGTATTACAAAGTAATTATAATTTGATACTATAGTTAGTATTAGATTATTAATATGCACCAAAACAAAAACTGGTTAATCCTTAAATAAGATTAGAATACTTAACCGATAATGATGATGAAGGATAAGGAACTTCTAAACTTGAAATGAAGGAACAGAATTATAAAAAGTTCAATAGATTTGAACACATAAGAATTAAAAATTCTACATGTAAAAAAAGGGGGGCAAAAAACAAAACTAGGAAAATCTAGCACAACTAGATACAGTTAACAATCTTCCCTTGTAAAGAACTTAAAATTAACAAAAAACAAAAAACAGTGGTCAACTAACATTTTAAAAAATATATAATGCCTCAGAAAATATACAGAGCTAATAACCATATTAGAAAATGTTTAGTCTCACCAGTAACCAAAGAATGAAAAGCTGTCAAGATGTTATTTTTAATTTATTAGGTTAGCAAAGATTTAAGAAAACAACAATACATAGTACTGATGGGATTTATTCTACTATTACCAACAGGCTAAAATTGGAAGGAAATTTATACTACTATTGATAAGCTAAAATTGGAAGGAAAATTATATACCAAATTTATCAAAAGTCTACACACTATTAAGCCTTTAACCTAGGGTTTCCTCTTGTAGGAATCAGAAACGCAAAGAAAGATTTATTCATAGGCATGTTCAGCAGAACAATATTTAGAATAGTGAAGAACTGGAAAAACCTTTGATATGGGGGTATGATTAAGAATTTATACAACTTTTGCAAAATGGGCTGTGATGTAAGTTTGATGCCAACACACTTTTCATGTCTTTCAACTTTTCAAAAAGTTTTTAAACATAAAATATATCATCCATAGAGAAAACACATGTAAAATAAATATGTACAATTTAGGAAAAGACCTATAAAATGTACTCTTACATTATCTTCACTGGGGCTTAAAAACAATTTCTTTTAACTTAACACCACTTCATAAACGGAATAGCATTCGGTAATTCCCATTTAAGTTTGAAAGGATCTCTTTACCTCATGAGAAAAGAGATTCTTTTTTATATCTTTATCTAACTCATTGTCATTTATGGAGAGAAACAAGGTTAGTGTACCCAGTTCTTGAGTGGTGTTTTTAATCCACTACTTTTAACAGTTACTTCATTACTTCCTTAGACCTTTTCATTCCAAAACAGAATTGGAACACCTTTCAAAGTTATGTTTATAATCCTACGGGATAAAAAATATTTTTTTAAAAAAATAGGGAGATAAACTAATCAAATATAGAAAAATAGGAGTTGAAAGTCAGAAAATACAGAAGTACGTATATACTAAGGGTGATATTAATGTTTTTCATCCTTTTTTGACAAGTCTGTTGTGAGACATACTGTCACACCATACATAAATAATATACACAAACATCTAATGAAGGATTACTTACCCTTCTTCATTACATGCTGTATGCTCTGATATTTTCCCCCCTTTTAAAGTGCTGCTTGCAACTTACTAACGTGTCTTGACCCACAATTTGGGGGAAAAAAAAAAAAGACCAGTGGGAAGACGGAGGCAACGGATTTGATGCTTCCTTTCTTAGTAGTTTATCCCTTAGGGAGAAACTCAGCTTGTTTCTGAGCAGTCATTAATGAATGAAGAGTGTCTGGGAGTGAAATAGCGTGTCTAGTGAACTTTTCGTGGTGAGTCTGATCTTGGGCAAACTGCTGTGATGTTCCTTTGGTCTTGCCTAACTGCAGTTTCTTCTGTAGCTACGGAGACAACTGTCTCAGGAGAAGTACCTAAGGGAATCTCTGGAGAAATCCGCATCAGCCATGCTTTTCAAAATACAAGAAATGGAATCAACAGTGGAGGTGGAACGGAAACAGGTAGATTTTTCTCCCCTTATGTCAAGGAAGTGAACCCAAAGATAAAGCTGATTATTTTACCTATAAGTGTTTAGTTTTGCTAATATTCTCTAGATCAAATTTTTGCCTGTAGTATTACTTGAAATACCTGCATGTAATTTAGACTATTCAGTTCTAAGTACTGAAGGCAGTTAGTAGTTCCAAATTCTAATAACCTGTATTTGGATTACATAATCTTTACTTTAACCAATGGCTGTCCTTCATAATAAAATTATTTAAAAAGGTTCTACTTAAATAATAAAGGTTCTACTTAAATTTTTTTTTTCTCATTTTTTAAGAGTTTTTTGTTTGACAGAGTGTGAGAGACCATAAGCAGGGGGAGCAGCCAGCAGAGGGAGAAGGAGAAGCAGGCTTCCCACCAAGCCGGGATCCTGATGTGGGGTTTGATCCCAGGATCCTAAGATCATAACCTGAGCAGAAGGCAAACGCTTAACCTACTGAGCCACCCAGGCGCTCCTACTTGAGGAATTTGTAAATGATCCTTTATTGCTCTAACTTGTGCCACCAATATAGTAGCTACTAGCCACATGTGGCTATTTAAATTTAAATTAGTTAAAATTAAATAAAATTAAAATTCAGTTCCTCAGTCACTCTGGCCACACTTCAAGTGCTCAGCAGTTACTTGTGCCTGGTATGTGTTGTGTTGGAGAGTGCACAGAAAGTTCTGTCGGATGGCCCTGCTGTAAAACACTGCACCCTGCTGAAATCTTAAATGTAATGTAGAAACTCCCCTTCTCCCTCCAGTGATGTGTAGATAGGAAAATCTGCCTTACACATGTGCTCTGAGGTGGTTTGGTAGAAATCTTGACCTTGAAGAAAGGACTTTTTCTTCCACATTTCAGGTGCAGATTTTGCAGCAAAACTGCGTTGCCCTACGCAGTTCTATACAGACCACCCAAGATCTGCTGGCACAGGAGCAACAGAAAAAAGGAGAGTTGGAGACTTCTATCTCTCTGCTCAAGTCTGACCTAAGTATGAAAATAGATGCTAGAAATTACATTTCTGTTAGGTGCTTTTGAGATTTCATGCAAAAACTCTTAAGATCCAAAGTTCTGGAAGAGGCCATTGTTACTGAGATTTACCACAGGACCACAAGTAAAAAATTGTTGATTGCCTTTTTTCTGTGGCACTGAAAAAAAAAAGTGTTGGTAATAAAATAGAATTCGATCTCCACTGTAGACTGTTCTATACATAAATTCTTTCTCAGATTTACTTAAGTGTTCATGGACTTGGGAATACTGGGTTTCTAGAAATCTAGATTAAATATTGGATAATAGAATATTAATAAGGAAATAAGGCCTTTAATACTTGCTAACCTGACTCTAACCATTTATCGTGCCAGGCTCCCATTTTTCAGGTTGCCAGTCTATTGATCTGTATTTGTATCAGTGGATGGTTGTAACTTACCTTAGAGCTTAATGTCCTCATTTTACAGATGGGTACACAGAGTCCTTACAGGTGATTGAGCTAGGAAATGGATGAGTCTCGTCGTGATCCCATGTTGTTCAGTCATGGTTCTTCCAACCCAGCAGTCCTTGCCATATTTACTATTTTTTGTTTGTTTGTTTTGTTTTTTAAGATTTTATTTGACAGATGGAGATCACAAGTAGGCAGAGAGGCAGGCAGAGAGAGAGAGGAGGAAGCAGGCTCCCTGCTGAGCAGAGAGCCGGATGCGGGGCTCGATCCCAGGACCCTGGGATCATGACCTGAGCTGAAGGCAGAGGCTTTAACCCACTGAACCACCCAGGCGCCCCTTTGCTATTGTTAATATATAGTTGTAAAGCAGTTTCAGCCAGTATCAAATATAGAGATCACACTACAATGCTTCACACAAGTAACACTTATGGTTTACATAGAGCTTTCACGAAAACGATCTCTGCAACACGCTAAACTATCCATACTTCCCAAAGTTAAAGCAAGGCCTGAGCCTGTATCTTCTAGATCCAGTGCTCCTGCCAATGTGCCTTCTATGCTCTCTGGCTGTAGTGAGGGCAGGGAATACCAAAAGGGAAATAAAAATTTTAAAAAGCATGGAACAAAGAGTAATCTGGTCAGTGTTTTGTTTTCCTGCTTTTAACAGAAAGTACTGTTTTTCTTATAGTTGTTGATTAGTGAATTACTTGTGGAGTTCTCACTGTTAATGTCCCAAGATAATTGTCCATCTTCCTGTGACTGTGTGGCTACCAAAAATACATGTTATATTTGATGGTGCTGCCACATTATCTCATTTGACCTTACAACCTTGCAAGAAAGATAAGAAAATATACCCCATTCTGTAGAAGCATTAAAAGGTCTGTATCTAAGGACCCATGGCAAATAGGACAGCTAGGACTAAAACAGATTTTTCTATTATAGGAGTAATTTTTTTTAATGTTACTTTTTCATTGGCTAAGTGCTTTAGTTTTGAATTTTATAAAGAATATATGGAAGACCATTTAAAAAATGAAAATTAAACATTAATTAAAACTAACACAAGGAAAAGGAAGCCTGAATACCAACAATATGTTTATATTGAATAACACTCTTTACATGCATACAATTTGATTACTTTAAGATATAGTTATGCTAATTAGATTAATAAAAGGAATGTCTCTAGATATTTGCTTTAATGAATTTAAAAATGTAATTATCAACAATAGACTTTTATATACACACAGTAACATGATGAAATTGTTCTCCCAAGTAAGATAAACATTCCCCTTTCATTCTGACTTTGATTATTAGAACTTTTAAAATGGATCATATAATAATCCTTTTTATCCTTAACATATTTTAAATGAACATTTACCTTATTTAAAATGAGTCTTGGACTTACATACTCAAAAATTATAGTTTTTCTGATTATATTCTACGTAAAATGTGAGGTTTTATGTGTTTTGTAATTTTCTGGCTTTAGACTATTTAAGTGAAACAAAACTAATAGATCTTTATGAATTCTTCACAAAGCCAAAACATGACTCTCAGAAAAGTTTACTTTGGGCTACTACTGCACAGTGCCAAACTGTTCCCCTGTTTCTATCTTTGGTTTTATTTTCACTGTATATACCCTCCGGGTGGTTTCAAATCTTTTTTTTCCCACATACGATCCTCTTCCTGAGCTCCAGACAGTATCTTAGTGCCAACTAGACATCAGTATACGGATGTCTTACAGAGACCTGCAAACGCACGGTAAATACTTAAATACTGCAATCATTCGTACTAGTTCTGTCCCCCGAACCTGCTCCTCATCCTGTATTCCCTACTTGAAGAGTCTACCACCCACCCCATTGCTTACATCTGGACACAAGATTTTCTCCTTGACTCACATGTTGCCTTTACCCCAGCAGCCAGCTGCCACGTCCTGACCGTCCTCCCGGCTTGTTGAATTTCCGGACTGTGTTTTCCCTCCGCATCCCCATAGCCCTTCCCTTAAAGCCACCTTTCATTGTTTTATACTGTGGTAACTGCTCAGTTACTAAACTGATTTCCTCTTCCTTACTGAGCCTCTGCCAGAGTGTTCTCGCTAACAAAAACCCTTGATCAGGTGCCTCTCCAGTTTAAAATCCCTCAGACTCATCAGCCTCCCTGCCTGCAGTAAAATCTGACCTCATTTACGATAGCTTGTGACTGTGCACTCTTTTCTTGATAATTTCATGACTTAGTTTCCAGTCTATAAAGATATGGTAGAAATACTTGCATTCTCCTTATTTTCACAACATACAGACTGGGGGAAAAAAAGAAAGCAAGCTGCTCCGGGAGAAGATACTATGTGATTTCAGTGTCGTTGTAGTAAGTTATTATTACCATAGTTATGTGGACTCTCTGTTTTTAGTTTCTAGAGATGAGGTCATTTCCAAGTTGGTTGAAGAAAATAAGGTAAGTTTTGAGGTTGTAGAGTTCAGAGATGTTCTTTCCTCTTTCACTAAGTAATATTTCCTCAGTCATGTTGGTTTGCAGTTGTTCTGATTCTCCTGAAATCCTTACTAGAAAAAAGTTGCAGTGTATATGTTGTATGTTCAGACCTGTTGCCAGCTGGGTATTAAGAAGTCATTTCAGCAGATTATTATGGTTTTAAAAAAAGATGAGTTAGCAAAAATTATGAGATGAATTTGTATCTTATCCTTATTGTAAAATAATTGCTATAAAATTTATGAAATATAAAAAATATTTACTACTTTTGGTTACTATAAGAAATAATAACAATAATGTGAATATACTTAACACCACTGAACTTAACACTTAAATATTTTTAAGTGAACTGTACATTTAAAAATGATTAAAATGTGAAATTTTTTTTTTTTAAGATTTTGATTTATTTGATAGAGATCACAAGTAGGCAGAGAGGCAGGCAAGGGCAGGAGGGGAAGCAGGCTCCCTGCCGAGCAGAGAGCCCAATGTGGGGCTCCATCCCAGGACCCTGGGATCATGACCTGAGCCGAAGGCAGAGGCTTTAACCCACTGAGCTATCCAGGTGCCCGTAAAATGTGAAATTTTATGTTATTTATATTTTATGAAAATAAAAAATGAAAAAAAAGAACTATTTCCACTTTTATATCTTAATACATTTCTAAATCAACCTTAATGTGTAGATCCTGTTTGGAATAATTTTTCTGGGTTCTATCTCATCCTGTAATAGGTGATGTTTAAGTCTTGAGATGCTTCTCCTGGAAAAATAGAAGAGTGGTCCTCTGTCTTTAGGGAGAGGACTTGCACTTTGCCCTTCCCCATTTCAATAACAACCTGTTGGGGAGGAAAAGTAGTTCATATCCCTGTCACCTATTTGGTTGTTTGTTTTTAGAGCAAAGGTGTTTTCTTTTGTTCCACACCCAGGTAATTCTTGATGAAAACATTTTCACCTACATAAAACTTTAAAAGATCTTTGAATGTGTTTGAAATCACAAAAGATAACTGCTTTAGGGGAAAAAATGTGTATGTAGTATAACAAATATTCGTCTTAGCAGAACTTTCTTGACCAGAATGCTGCTTAACTATTTACATTATGGTTTTAGGCAAATTCTTTCCAGTTTGAAACACCATATGAGAACATTTTAATTAACAGTTTTTATAATTTATGGGGGAGCCAGGTGGTGGGTATTATGGAGGGCACACATTGCATGGAGCACTGGGTGTGGTGCAAAAACAATGCTGTTACACTGAAAAGAAATAAAAAAAAAAGAAGTTTGAGAGTTGAAGATAATCAGGATTTTAAAAAATTCTTTACAAGATGCTTATCTATAAATATCATTAGTACTAGAGCACTGGATGTTATACCAACTAATGAATCTTTGAACACTAAATCAAAAACTAATGACGTACTATATGTTGGCTAATTGAACATAACAACAACAACAAAAAAAAACCAAACTTGAACTCATAGTAGCCAAAATACAGAGCAGGTATTTTGATAGAGATATTCATAATAGCTCTTACATGTAAAAAAAAAAAAGAGAGAGAGAGAGAACTTATTATTTTTGCTCTTACAGAATGTGCAGATGTCTTTGAACAAGGAACATGAAGAAAATGCATATTTGAGGTCTGAATTAGTAGCCCTTCATGAAACATCAGAAAAAGCACAGGTAGATCTTATTTCTATAGTTTTTAGATGTTAGTTAATTTTGTTTAATTAAGGAATCAACAAAGATTAATCCTGATTATATTAATTCATACTATCATGATAGGTATAATTGGTATATAGCATTATATTTCAGGTATACAACATAATGATTCAATATTTGTATACATTGCAAAATGGTCACAGTAATTCTAGTTAACATCCGTCACCATATATAGTTGAAAAAAAATTTTTTTAAGATTTTATTTATTTATTTGACAGACAGAGGTCACAAGTAGGCAGAGAGGCAGGCAGAGAGAGAGGGGAGGGGGAAGCAGGCTCCCCGCAGAGCAGAGAGCCTGATATGGGGCTCGATCCCAGGACCCTGGGATCACTATCTGAGCCTAAGGCAGAGGCTTAACCCACTGAGCTACCCAGTTGCCCCCCAAAATTTTTTTCTTGTGATGAGGACCTTTAAGATTCACTCTCTTAACTTTCAAATATGCAATACAGTATCATTAACTATAGTCATCATGCTGTACAGTACATCCTCCTGACTCATTTATTTTATAACTAGAGGTTTATACCTTTTGACCCCGTCACCATTTTCTCCCATCCCTTATACCTGCTGCCTCTGGCACCTACCTTCCTGTTCTGTGTATCTGTGGACTTGGTATCATTTTTTTGTTTTTTGTTTTAACATTCCACATGTAAGTGAGATTATATGGTATTTTCTTCCTCTGCTTGACATATTTCATTTAGTATGCATTCAAGGTCCCCCCATGTTGTTGCAAATGGCAAGAGTAAATTCTTTTTTGTGGCTGAATATTATCTATCTATAACTATATGCACACACATACCACATTTTCTTTATCCATTCATCTATTGATGGACACTTAACGTTATTTCCATATCTCGTCTATTGTAAATAATGCTGCAGTGAATGTAGGGTTGCAAATATCTTTTTGAATTAATGTTTTTGATTTCTTCATGTGAATGCCCCAATGAGCAGTTGCGGGATCATACGGTAGCTCTAGTTTCAACTTTCTGAGAAACCTCGGTACTGTTTTCCTCAGTGGCAGTATCAATTTACGTTCCCTTCAACAGTGCCCAAGGATTCCTTTTCCTCCACATCCTCTCTAATACTTATTATTTCTTGTCTTTTTGGTAATAGCCATTCTAATAGTGTGCGGTGATACCTCATTGTTGTTTTGATTTGCATTTCCCTGATTAGCGATGCTGAACATCTTTTCATGTACCTCTTGGCCATCTGTATGTCTTTTTTGAAAAATGTCTGTTCAGATCTTTGGCCCATTTTTTTTAAAGATTTTATTTATTTATTTGGCAGACAGAGATCACGAGTAGGCAGAGGCAGGCAGAGAGAGAGGAGGAAGCAGGCTCCCCGCCAAGCAGAGAGGCCGATGTGGGGCTCGGTCCCAGAACCCTGGGATCATGACCTGAGCCAAAGGCAGAGGCTTTAACCCACTCAGCCACCCAGGCACCCCATTTGGCCCATTTTTTAATCAGATTTTTTTAAGCTACTGTGTTTTATTCTTTATATATTTTGGGTTTTAACCCCTTATTAGATATATGATATTAATACATGATTGCCAATATTATCTCCCATTCAGCAAGTTGCCTTCTCATTTTGTTGATGGTTTCCTTTGCTGTACAGAAGCTTTTTAGTTTGATATAGTCCTATTTGTTTATTTTTGCTTTTAGTGTGAGACCAAGAAAATTACCTATGTTTTCTTCTAAAAGTTTTATGGTTTCAGGTCTTATGTTCAAGTCTTTGATCCATTTTGAATTAATTTTTATGTATTGTACAAGATAGTGGTCTAGTTTCATTCTTCTGCATATGCCTGTCTAGTCTTCCCAACACCATTAATTGAAGAAACTGTCCTTTCCTCATCAAAAAAAAGCACAGGTAAATCTTCCAATTTTTGTGTTTACATGTTAACATAATTTTGTTCAGTTAAAAAAACCAAGAACCAAAATTGATTCTAATTGTATACATTCATACCATTGCCATGCTCCATTTTTTAAATTTTCTTAAAATCTGTTTCATCTATGAACCATTATCACATTAACTACATTTCCCATTTCACCAAATCTCCTGTGACACATAAGTATATGAGATATACTGCTAAATCATGCACTAATCTACACTTTGCCTTTGTCTGCTTTATATTTTGCTCATTAAATATATAGCTTTCATCTACACCTATGAACTTCTAAGCAGTCCAGTGCTACAGGCTATGCTTATACTTTCTTTGTATCTTTTATAACAAATAGCATAGTAGGAACATAATAAGTGCTTACTGGATTTTAGAGTTCTGTGTATTATTTTCTGTAGGATGGTGGTTGCCAAATTTACCTAGTG